TTTTGCATACTATATTTGTACAAAATGTCATCCCACAAAACGAAATGGTGGACCCCACTAGAAATGATGAGAAGACAGCAACCTTGGATTTTTGCTTTTCGTTTGATTCTTTTTGTCGGGGTAATGCAATTGTGTAGAGCATGTTCTACCAACTAGTGTTTCCGGGGTCGACTCGGCATCCGGTCGACCTGAAGTCGGAATCGGTTCGATTAGGCTAATTGGACCGAGAAATTATAGAATCGGTCAAACTCGGTCAAAACTCGGCCAACCCGACTTTGACCTGGTCGACCCGGGGCATTGACCTGGCTGGGTCTCGGTTGACCCGGTCTCTATATATATATATATATATTTTTTTTTTTATTTTTTGTGTTTAAAAGATAAAACTATGTATATATATATTTATATGGTAAATATTTATCATGAAATACATATTATTACCACTTTAATCTATAAATTACACACAAAATATTTAATTTTGTTACTTTTATGTATATTTATATGACAAAATACTATATATAATTTTAAAAATTTTAAAATTAAGTATATGATTCAACAATTGACCCGGTGACCCGGCGGTTGAACCGATGACCCGGAGACCTTCCTGGGTCGATTACCGGGCTGGGTTTAAAAACTATGCTACTAACGTATTTATTTCCAATTACTAAAGATGGGTAGATGCTACTGTCTCGTTACGGAATCATTTAGTCGAGGTTTCTAATTGTTAAATCATCATATAACCGTTCGGGGATAGTTGATCTAACGATTACAAACCTCGACGAAATTATTCCGTAACGGGATGTAGCATTTCTCAATAAAAAAAAAAATCATCTTACATAAAATTTATCATCACCGTAATAAGTTACTAAAGGATCTCAACTTAATGGAGCCCGTCCAAACAACACCTTGATTGGCCCAAACTTTTGGGATCAGTTATCGGTAACTTATAACTAAATGGACCAAAAGCCTTCGAATATTATTGATTTGTTAAAATTGTTTATTGATTTGTTACAAAACAACAAACATAATTTGAGTAATGCTCACTTATTCACGGTGGCCACATGTTAATATGCTCACCGTTTATGTGGCATGCACACATTGGTGATGTTAATATGTTCAAAAAAATACATCACCAATGTGTACATGCCCATAAATAGTGGACATATTAACATGTGGCTACCGTGGGTAGGGGAACATTATCTACCATAATCTCGTTAATTATTCTTATAATCGGAAAGTAATAAAAAATAAAAATTTTCATTTATCCTACAAGATTCTTAAAGTATTACAATAAGTTAATAACACAATCTTAAATAAATAATTACATCTCTACCTAATAGATAATATATAACTACATTAATGCCTAAAGCCAGTTACCCTATCCATTCAACCCTCATCTCTCCTTTTGTATGGGCTTAACTAAGAGAGAGAAATGAAAAACATGCTTTTAATAAAATAACTAACTCCTTTAATTCCTTAATTCGCGCAACTTATACGTTTTTAATAGAGAGAGACAAAAACATGTATTGTAATTCACGCAGCTGTTTAAGTGGGGTATATGTTGTGTTTATGTTAGTATATACTCAGTATATGTTGCAATGAAAAAAATGTCTTTTATAATTTTTTTTTTTAATTTTTTTTACGTCTATACATAAAAGCATATATATATATATACATTTTATAAATATATTATATTAGGTTACTTATATTTCCTATAAATAAATCTTTTAATATACCAAACATATATTGAACATATACTCCTATACACACAACATATACTGAACAATTTATAAAAAAATCTTCTAATATACTGAACATATACTCCCTATACACAGCACATATAGAGAAATACGATGTCCAACCTCTCGTTCATGTCTGTGCAAAAATTCTTTCTCGAGTTTTCTTTGGTATGATCTTAATATCTTTATTAATTTAAGAGAAAAACTAAGTCATTCTCAACCAATAAAATACAAGATTTTTTCCATAGATGTCGCCAATTTAATATGCGACTTGTCCAAAAACCGGATACAGGCTGCTGACATCGGGGATAGGATTCCAACCTGAGCTCCAATGATGACTTGCAAAATACGCCGAGGAAAGGGGGGATTCTGGAGGAAAACTTCTGACGCTCAAGATAGATCTCCAGTGACGGATTAAAAATTTCATACAGGGAGCCCGACTTTAAATGTTTTTTTTTTTTTTTTTTT